AAAACGTTTCCGACGTCCTTTGACTAATTTAATTTCAGTTTCTGTATATTTAGAACATCTATCTATAATTTAGAGTGTTCTTTAAAAATAATACTTAAAAAGTATTTTTTTTATCATGCACTGCTGCAACATTTACGACCTGTATTTTAAATGAAGAAGTTTACATAAAAAAAAAAAAAAAAGTAATCGCTTATTAACTATCCGTTCCTCTTATTCAAAAGGCTGCAGAACATACTAACCTATACAATAAAAAGTGTAATATTGTCCTCAGAGATCTTCTCTCCATTTACCAATGCCTATAAAATGCATAAAGGACCACAATTGCTAATTACATTCTGTATAAAATTCTTGATTTAATTTCCACATCAAGTAATAAATTTTAATTACCAGGGAATCTAGGTAATTGTGGAAATGTAAGTGCAGATCAAATTGCTCGAGACACTGCCAAAGTAATAAGAATTAATTGTCAAGTCCCAAAATACAAACATTTTCCGTCTACTAAGCAAAACAACTGTTAATGAATAGCAGAATTTAAATGGATGGAAATCTCAAAGCAATGGGATTTAATACAATTTAATTTATCCATAAATATCTTTAAAACCATGGTTCGCAAATATTGGAATATGTTTGGAAAGAAATGAGTTGACGAATCTAATTTTTTTTAAATTTCTCTGTTGGCATTACATATCGTGTAGATCTTTTACAGCCTTAACAAGCCCGCTCTATCTCTGCCTGTCTTGGGCTATTTCATTCCATTTATCTGCACTCAGCTCTATTTTATCTTCGTTGATTCTATCTATCCATCTGCTTTTTGATATTCCACGTGGTCTTTTGCCTTCTATTGAGCTATTCCGTTATGTAGAGGCTTCCAAACGGATTGCTACGAGCTACATGCCTCGCCCATCTTAACGTGCCTTCCTATCATGGGATATTGATTGACCAGTTTCTGTAAGCAGTTCTTTATTGGTCTTTCTTTTCTATGTATTACTACTTTGATTCCAGATCGGTCCTGTTATGGTCCGGTTCAGTGTCTAATTAGGTTGAGGTCAAATTATGGAAATATAAAGCAATTCTTAAGTTTATTAAAAATAAAGGCGGCAATATTGAGCAATATTGATATTGATACAATCTACTTAAAAAGATCATTAAAAAAACAAAATCACGGCTTTAATAGTTAAAAGACATAAGGTTATTGCATTATAGTATTTTGTTTAAAAGTTTAATGACAAACAAAAAAATTTATTTTTTTAAATCCCTTACAAAATTTCTTTGTGGAAATATTTATTGGCTTTACTATAATAATTTAAATATTTTTAATTTCACTCATACTTTTAATTGTAGACCGAAAGTAACTAGTTATAATTTTTTTTTGTTTCTTCTCATAAAATTTTTGTATTTAAATAGAATTATAATTGGCCATAAATACGTAGGATGGCAAAGATAATGAAGGAGAGTCCATTAACGATGTCCTCGGCTGTCAGTTACTGGCTTCTTATCTCCCATCATTGTGAGCAACACTAATGAACTTGAAATAACCTCCGCCGCTACGGAGGGAAAATGAGTTCCTTATCTCTTGTCCTAACCAATGAAAATTAGGGAGATAAGAAGGAACGGGATAGGTTACAATTGTTTATTCCAGGACGGAAGAGTGAAAGTCCGAAAGTAGAAAACAAGACGACTTGACTGAGCCATGATATCGAATTAAATTTAGAAGGAGCTTATTTGAGAAGGAGTTCTCAAGGCGTTCATGTATTATTCATCCAGAAAGTGAATTAGGGCTGGACACTTAAAAAAATTAGATACAAGATCATATTACTACAAACTCTCGGATTGGATTGGTAATTTTTTTCTTTACATATATCACGAAGGGATCAAGAAATAGAACATGTAACTATGAATGAAATAAGATTACTATAGATAATAAAAGTGAATTATTTTAGCGTTTTGTTTAATTTAAGTTATTTTTTCCTAAGTTTAAGTTGGGTTGGAACAGTTTTTTTATTACTTTCACTTACCTATATATGACAAATATAATAAAGAAAAATATTTTTAAAATTTTTAGAAATGAACATATCCAATCAAATTACCTTCACCCTTCCTCGTAAACCAATGACTTCCTGTCCTTCAGTATCCTTTAACAACACCTCACTTATTCCTGTTGAACAAATCCGTTACCTAGGACTCCATCTGGACAAACGTCTAATTTGGAATCCTCATACCAGACTGAAACGACAAGAAACAGCTCGACGTTTCCGACTACTTCAAAACTTACTAGGCAAACGCTCTAACCTTCCAATTAATTGTAAAAGACTCATTTATATGACTATTATAAGGCCTATTTGGACTTACGGAGTTGAGCTATGGGGCTCCACCAAACCTTCAAATTCCTCTCGCATCCAATCCTTACAATCCAAAATCCTTCTTAAAATCCTCAATGCTCCTTACTTTGTTACAAATAAAATTATCCATAATGACCTTAATGTTCCTTATGTATCAGATTTGGCCCAATCCAGATATCTGTCCTTCCATAATAAATTTCATAACCATCCCAACCCTCTTGTTTCTAACCTTGCTTCCTATTCAATTCCTGATAACCCTCCGAGGCGTCTGAAAAGAAGTTGGCCACGTGATCTTCTAATATAGATATATTATTAGAGTGCTACCAATGGGTAGTTTCTCAACATGTGTTACATGTCATTATATCCATGTGCAAATTTACCAGATGTATTTTTTGTATACAGTTGTAAATATCATATAAATAAATAAATAAGAAATGAACATATTTGTCCATCACTTGTTTAATTTACAAGATTGGTTCAAATTATGGATAATCCAAACATATAGCATTTACTCTAAGAAAAAACACCTGCCCCCCACTTTATATTGACAACACCTTCGACAGAAAATTGACATGATGCCCCCGTGTAAAAATGAAACGTAAGACACTTAACAAACGGCTCAAAATACTTTACCCTCTTTTTTCCTAAATACTCAAAACTGAAACTGAAACAGAAACTGACTACATATACATACTTACTTAAACCCATATGGACATACACAATCATATTCTATCGCCTAAAAGACTCCAACTCCAATCCAAATTATTGTGACTCATAACAAAAGCACCACGGTAAGTGACTAAAAAAATTCTGATCTCCACCTCTCAATAGTTGAGCAACATATAACGACGCTTTATCAACGATTTTACACTAATTTAATCGAACATAATAACAGACTAATAAGAGATATCGCCACAGCTGACATACGCCAGAACATGAGGAGGAGACTAAAAAGGCGTTGGATGTGAGATCTCTTTCCTTTAACAACCTAAGTAATTGAAAGTAGTTAGGGAAGAGGTGCTGCTGTGTGCTTTCCTTCTCCATACCTGTTATCCCATTTTTTCCTGTATCTCTCCATCACATTTTCTGATTGTCAACAAAACTGACAGGCGCCAATTCATTTTTAAAGGCCAACAAAAAAATTGTTTTTGATCCGGTGTGTATGTGTTTGTTCCGGTGGGTGTTGAACAGTCCAGCTCATAAACGAAACGTCATAACAAACTGAAATTGTGTATTTAAGATTTTTTATACGTTACAGCAACTTTTTCGTCAATATTGGCTTACCGGAAGTGCATAATAAATTTTACAAATTTTGGCAATTTTCTCGAAATGGCTCAATGGTTTTAATGAAACTCAACAAGTCAATGTAATATTAAGTGGGTATATCCTCAGCGATGCAGCTTGACAGGGCTTAAACGGCGAATTTTAAAAATGTCTCCCTCTAAAGTACCTTTAGTTTTTTTTTTAATCGAGGTAATTGACAATTTTAAATGATAGCCTGCTATTAAAAATGGTTCAATATAAAATATGAAAGAATTTAATAATTAACTAGAGGTGAAATAAGGGATCGCAACCGAGAACCGAAGAAATCCGAGTCTAGAATCGAGCTTGGCCGAAAGATTAGAATAGGCTTCTATTTGTAATACGTGATTAATATAATACGGACCCCGATAATATAATGTCCAATATACATTGTGCGCTGGTATTATTTAATATTAAATTGTACAGGATACATCAATATAAATATTAAAATTTATATATATATATATTAATAGTACGGCTCGGTAGTTGCTGATAAAAAGTGATGGCCAAGTTTCTCGTCGTTGACAAACGTTATGTTAATTATTCGGAAACATTTTAAATCTCAGTTCCTAATATGAATGTTAGGTATGACACAACGAAAGAAAAAACAACTTTAACCGTATTATCTTTTTTTAAAAATAACATTCATTGCTTCAGTTCACTTTTCAGTACTGTTTTCATCATTTCTTCGCAGCCATCAATTAAATCTACAAATGCCAATCTTATCCCGTTTTTGTCTTGAAATTTGAGCGCCAGTGAAGTGGTTGAGGGAGAAACGCAGGGATCTCCTTAACATTGTTTTTCCCTCTACAAGTGGGGAGACAAGATTGGTTCGGAGTTTTTCTGGCTGATTGTAAATGGTGTATATAGGTATGCTTGTGCCTTAGATGTTTATGCTACTTTAAATACATTTTATTTTACTTTTGTTTTTATTTTTACTTTTTTATGTTTATATATATTTTTTTCTCTCCTTATAATATTTTATGTTGTTCTTATTTCTATCTATTCTTTTGTTATTACTTTATTTATTTATGTTTCTGTATATACGATGTGAATGTGCTCTCTGAACTATATTCTAAGGGTCCTTAACTGAGACAGATAGTCAAATTCCTCCCAAAAAAAGTTGAGGAATATTTGATGTAAAAATAAGTTATATATATTTTTTTTCTAATGCTATTGTAATGTAATTTTGGATTTACTCGCCAGGCAGCAAAATAGTGAGAAGAAACGGTCAGAAATACTGTATGATATCAGAGAATAACTGATACGGATGATAAATATTTTTTTGCTGTAGATAACATTTCAACCTGCTCAGTGTCACGTCCCATTTTATCACAGATCGCAACGGTTTTTATTTCCCTCTCATGGACATTGGCGGCACCGTTTCTTTTATCGGAGGAGTTAGAGTAAGTGTGTCTGCTCTAGATTAGGACTCATTCATGATCTCTTATTGCTTACATCTTAGGAAATACTCAAGAATATTCTTCAATGGAATCTTTCCGATCTGGCTCTTGATATTTGAGAGCACATTTCAGATAGAAAAAATTAATCTCGGTATTTCTAAGCATTGTTTTGATCTTATGAAATAACGACATATAATATGTAATGTAAGGTTTTAAGATTACTAACATCATTATCGATATCATTAACAATTTAGTAGTTGTGACCAAATATTATTTAATTAAATACTATAAATATTCAGGAAATTGTTGAAATGTGTTCGATTATGTAAGGCAACTTTTCAAACCAAAACATACGTCATTTTAAGAACATCCGAACTCAATGAATGTTGATAGTTCAGAACTACTACAATACTCAATTGTAGAATATTTAAGGCAGAAATATAAACACATCAACAGCACATAGTATACCATTATAATCTATATAATTAGATTATTGTTCGATGTAATTTAAATTATATTTTATTCTATTCGCTCCCCTTTAGTTTTTGTTATTTACTATTTTTAGGAACTATATTATTATTTTTTTAAATAAAATAAAAACATTTTTATTTTATGATATTTCTGTAACCTTCAGATTGATTGGTAGCCACTATAAAAACCTAAAAATTCAACACTCTATAGTCAACTGATACAGAATCAAATGAGGTACTTCATTTATATTTCGCTTTTCTCTTTTATTATGTCTTATTTATTACACTCCTCTTTGCTTTTTAATATTTATCTTTCTGATTTTATTTCTTTCTTTTCATTAGACGTGAAATTAACGGCATCCGAATTGTTTTCTTAAGCTTAAACTTGGGTTCACTATATTCATTTTTTTTTTATTCGTATGTTTCTCTTACAAGGTCACTCCGAAACGGCGATATAAATGAAATATTAAATTTAATTATTGTTACTTTGATTAAATATATGTATTCAAATTTGTAGGTTAGGACTTCACCTTAATAAAACTACATATTTGATCACTATAGTCCTACTTTATTTGTTTTTTTTTAAATCAATGTTTCAGCCCTTAGGCCATTATCAAGAGGAGAAACATTTAACAAATTAATTATTTTCATTTAGTACTCTATTTTACATAGTTATTTTAATACATAAAAATCATTATGGACTGAATTGCCCTTGTCAACTCCATTTAACTAGTCAAAAACTAAAACCTTCCTCTATAAGGTTGTTTATTTCATTACGTTGTCACAATCCCAAAATTAATATTTACATTATTGAAACCATCTTTATGCATTGCTACACTATTTAATAAATATTTCATTAAAGTTAAATACATTCACAGCCCTATTATTTATTCATCCTTTTTTTTATTATAAAAATACATAATTTTGATTTTTTATATTTAATTTTATAACTCAATACAACCATTTTTATATTTAAAATTTAACATAATATATAACATAAATATAACATGATATACTTGAACAGATTAACAACTCATTTTTTTTCCATTTTCATCCATTTATAAATTAATTTTGGTAATTATTTCCGCAATAATGGCCTAAGGCTGAAACGATAAAATAAATAAAGTTGGAATGCAGAGATCAAACAAATGGTTTTATTATTATTGTTATGTTTTTTATTTGTGACTATATTTGCGTTGTCATGAAGTAAAAAATAAATAAATCATATAATTTTATTGGTATAACAGATGAAGCCCTTTTTAAAATTCATTTTGCTTAGCAATCAATAAATTATTCATTACACTGTAGCATTCCTATTCTTTTCCTTTGGATTATGTATTCCTACAGGCAGGACTTACCGTATTAATATTTAATGAGCCAAATGTTTTGATCTAGGTGTGTCTCAAAGGGGTCCAGCCTGGATATCTAGGACAGTTCATTGTTTATAATTAAGATATCTCTGATCCGGTGGAATGCTCCCAACAAAAAGGCAACGGCGTCAAAGAGGATAAAGAAATGAGTTCTTAAAAGATTTTATAATGTCCGCTCGAAGGACATGTTTTAATTAATGGTTTAAGAGAAATAAAAGGCTCCCCGTAAGCCGTCCTTGTGACCGACATTATGGGAGGGCTTGCGGCGGAGGTTACCTGCTCTGTCAGGCAGCTTTTCAAATATTACCTGGGTCTGTTTAACCTAGTTGTCAAGTATTGTTCTTCTGTTTATTTCAACAAATTGTTTATGCTTCGATGCTTACATGTAGTTAAGATTACCAAAGGGATTGTGTTGAGTTTTATTTATTTTTCCTTTATCTTCCTAGTACCATTGTTAACTTTGCCATAAAACTCAATCTGCCATAGGTGATGATCCTGAACTGCATGTCATAATCAAAAGTTGGGATAAAAAATGGTGGATATATTTTGTTGATATAGATTATGGAAGAAACCAGATTGATTTTGTCAAAACTTTATGTTTATCAAGTGGATATCGCAGACGATATTTGTTCCCATTCTCGATCCAATTTATTATCATTTTTTTTTAAGACAAACCTACTCGCTATCTCTGGCATGGGGGGAAGAGGGAGTGTGGGAGTTTTTTTTGATAAATAACCAAAAACTGATCTAACCAAAGTGGAAAGGTCAAGATTTATTCCTCGGTTCCGCCACGAACTTAATTTCAACCCGACTCAAGAATGTTTTAAGAATGTTAAAACAGGCCATTAATCTAATACGCTCGGTAATTTTTTTTAAAAAGTTTCAATATATATATATATACATATATATATATATATATATATATATATATATATATATATATATATATATATATATATATATATATACATATATATTATTATATATAGAATAAAAATAAAGAATAAATAAAGCGAAATTGACAAAATGATTAAATAAAAGTTTTGTAAAAATTAAAGTAAATCCTTTACTTGAAAATTTTCAAGGGGAAAAACTTCTAGTTCCAATATAAGTTTTTCCCCTTGAAAATTTTCAAGTGAAGGATTTACAGAACTTTTATTTTTACAAAACTTTTATTTAATCATTTTGTTAATTTCGCTTTATTTATTTTTATTTTTATTCCAAGCAACTGAAACGACACATTAGAATCGAGGGTAATTCGTTTAAGAAAAAATCCAATTTAATCCCAATTACTGCTTATTTTTCATTTCGTAGAACTTTTTTCTTAAGAATAAAAGTTAAACCTTTACCACAGACCTGAAACTTTATTACAAAAAAGTATCTCAGAAATTTTATTTTAAGAACGTTTTTCGTAAAAATTTTCACGGAAACTGTTAAAATGGAATTGTAAAAAAAGTCCTGTGAATGTTTCAACTCCTGATTCGACCAAAAGGTGTTTTCAAATTACAATTAACTGTATATTTGATTTTTTTTTAATTGATATAATTAATTTGTTTCATTTATGTCTGAGAAAAGTCTTCTGTTTCTTATATTTTTTTTCTGAATTTTCTGTGGAATATGCTTATTTTTCGCACCTGAAAAGATTAATCGTTGCATTTAATGTTCAATTAACGAAGACATGAGATACCGACAAATAATTACTTTGAAAGATGGTATATAAATATATTTCAATGGCAAACTGGCTCCCATAGAGTTCAATTACTTTTTTTTATTAGTTTTATAAATAATCAAAAACTATACTTCTTCTGAAATATTTTAATTGTTACCATACAAAACTCTCTTGAAAAATATAAACCAAAAGTAATATTAAAAAAATAGAAAAAATAATTTATATTATTCAAGGTGTCTTTGAGGCCTCAGAACATTTTTCTTCCGCTTACCATTGCCGCTTACGTATAATTTTTAAAACGTAATTTCTTCCAACTAGATTAATCGATTCACCGACGTCAGAAATTTGAAACCTCCTGCTTTGACTCTGATTTTTACAAAAATTGTAGTAGGAATTCAAGTATCGAAATTGCAATTTGTCAATGTTCTATGAAATTGCCTTTCGTTTAATACCTCATTCATCAAGATTCATCGCTCCTCAAAACTGTAAAAGGTTATCTATCCTACTATATATAGTGTAGATAATAAGATATTATCTATTTTATAATAAATAATTCTGCTGAAGTTTAGCTGAATAACTATTTTTAATTTTACAATCATATGAGATGTATGATAATTATGTTTTCATAAACATAGATTTTTTATCCATTTTGTATTGTATTTGCTTTTTTAATAAAAGATAAATTATTCTCTGAATATTTTAAACATCGAGTAAAAAATGCATCGAGTAGGATAACCGTTGGAGCACCATTTTCTTGACATCAAAGTCGAGAAAGTAGATCACGTCGTTACTGCATATCATCTGGTAGTAGTGGCATATTTTGTGGTCGGAGTTCAGAATCTAATATCTGACGCACTTACAGAGATTCACCGCAGCTCCAGATCCAGACTACCTTCACATCAACTTCAGTACCCCGGCGCGGCTAGAACCCGCACTGACCTACTGGAACAAATAGCTCGTCGCATTAGAACATTATGCGGTAGATTGTTTTTTTTTCTCTTTTTACCGTCTAATGAATTATTGAATTATTTTGTGGGTGTGGATGATCGGTCGATAATAAGTTCCACTTGGAAGGCCCGTGACAATGGGAATTTCGAGTCATTAGGCGGCCTTTGTTTTAGAACCACATTGTCTACTGGCATGGGCATTAAATTGTTAAATATGCTTACTATCAGTATTAGGACGAACCTATCATTAAAATGTTAAATTATAAAAATAAGAATCCAGTGAATCCATTTTTTAATAAATGACTGCAACAAAACAACTAGTTTTTACAAAATAACTGTTTACAACTATAAACAATGGACTGTTTTATTTGATATTTTGGTTCCTACATACTATACTTATTTATATACTCCGGAGGTGAACCACATCATATCCACTTTTCATTTAATAATTTTGTAACGAATAAACAAATTTTAATAGCTCAAAGTTATGGAAAATTAGATCCCTTGAACAAATGGACAAAAATGGACATGGTGCTGTTTAACTCTGGCTTAAGAATATTTTTAAAGACATTAATGTATTAATTTTTTTTTTAAATTTAATTATAAAACGCATGTTGGTCGAATTCGTTTGGGTACCAGCCCATTGCGCCATTGCTGGAAATGAATAAACTGACCAAGCAGGCCATTTAGCAAGAAGTGAAGAAGAAACTGCAGTGATAAGATCAAAGGAAGTTAACTTAGAAGAATGGGTATACTACGCAAAAAAAAAAAAAAAAGACTACTAACAAAATGTGAGAAAGAATATAAAAGGAAAGAATGCAAAATGACATAAATTTGCCTAACTCTGGCAAATGGCTCACAAGCTACAGAAGTTCAAGGATAGAAGAAGTTCTGCTTCACCGACTAAGTATAAGACACTGCCAGTTTACTCATGGCTGGCTACCTTCTGTGAGAACTCGAAGCGCCCACGTGTGAAAAATGTAATAAGGTTCTTCAAACAGTGAAACATTTACTGCAAGAATGTCCTCAATTTGAAAATAACTGAAGAAAAACAGGCTTAGCCAAAACATCAAGGGGAATCCTTCAAGATACTGAAGAAAGAATCGTTACTTTCTATAAATTTTTAAAGTTAACTGAGTATTATAAAGGAATATAAACTGTAGTAAAACGCCAATGACCCTTGAGGGTAAAGGCGTGAAAGAAAGAGAGTAAAAAAATTAACCAATTAATAAAAAATTAATATTTTATTTAATTTTGCTATGAAAAATCTTTAAATATTATCTTGATATCGACTCTATAGTTTCTAATGCAGTAGACTCTCGTTTAACTGATGTAAGAAACCAAATTTTGGGCAAGTGAGGGTATGATAGTAAATAAAAAAATCCGTCGAAAACTCAGATTCAAAAATTTTCTCGATCGCAATACTTACACTTACTATATATTACATATATACGTAAGTGAAAGTAAAAAAATATGAAATTGATCATATTAATTTTGGTGATGGACAAATAAATTGCATTAGATAGGTATTACTACCGTCTAGATTTTACCAGTTATATTGCAATATTAAACTTTATATATTGCGCTAAATATCTAATACTATGATGTATGCGAACACACTTGGTTCAGTTACAGAAGAATTAAATAAAAAGTTCTGGATTTAACAATACTATTCACGTGAAAATAATAAACTGTGTTTATGTTATGCATGAATCGATGCCGTCACATCAAAATGAAAAGAAAAGCCTTAAAGAAACCCCTGAAATATTCTCTTCTTTCCAAATCAAAACGGAAAATCAAACCAGAAACTAAATGCCTACACATTCCTATTTAAACCTCCATGGACATAACCATCGCAGATATATGGTCTATCGAATAAATACGCACTTAAAAAAACTAAATTCATTTCAAGCCAATTTCTTAAGACTAATAGCAGAACTGGTACGTAAATAACAAAACTCTACATGTCGACTTATTACCAACTGTGGATCAACACCCGTACTCTTCATTTCATTTTGCATAATAAACTTCATGGACATAACGACGGATTGATTAATGGGATACCTGCGCTGACATGCCTTTAATCAAAAGGAAACTGAAAAGAAGTTGGAGTAGTGACCTCAAATTGCGAATAAAGAATGTTTATCAATACCGGAAAAAAGTTACTTCTGTTACATGTTACTAATATCTTCCCGTATGACTGAAATACCATAATCCTATTGTTTCAGCTCATTTGCTTATTGTCACTTTCTTTTGTATAAAATGTGAATACAAAATATTAAAAAAAATGTATACGCATTTTAGATTACAGTGAGAATAAAGAGAGGATATGACTCGTTCTTTTACCAAATCTTAAAAGATGATGATTTTTCTTTAATCTTTTCGTTCGTATAATTATACCCTAGTGTCGCTGCAATGGAGTCCTTCACTAGGTGTAATTGATGAATGGTTTAATGATGTTTTCGGAATCCAAATTGATGTTGTGGTATTATGTTTTCGTTTGTCAGTATGTCAAGAAGTCTCTTGTAGAGAAGTTTCTCAAATATTTTAGTGCATATAGGGAGAAGTCTAATGGGTCTATATGATGAAGAAAATTCGGTGTTGGTTTGTAAATCATTGCCATGTATGAATATTTGGTCGTTCTGAGTATAGGAACACTGTACCTAACATAATACATTAATGTTAGGTACACTAGAATTTTCCTCGACATTATCTGGAGCACTTGAGCATTTATGAGGTCATTGCCAAGGGTTTTCTTTTTAGTTAATTGTCTAATTCCCTCTGCGACTTGAGTAGCTGTAAAGCAAGATGAAGGTAAAGGAATGTCTATAGTGTAAATTGTTTTAAACTTTAATATTTGTTTATTTCATCTTAATCTTTATGATTTAAATTCCATTTTGTGAGTACTCATTTACATCTTAAGTAATCATTTTTTTAAAAATAATACTTATTTCACAAGTTTAGTATCAGTCCATATTTCTCTGGCTCCGTACTTAGGGAATAAAGATAGGAAAAGCTATTTTGTTACAAAATATAAACCCTCATCTGCGAGATGATAAGTAACTAACAGTATCAGCTGTCACAACACAGCATTTGAATAAAATGCATTTGTATAATGGATTTCTTCATCTCCATTGTATGGTTGTTTCAATGATTGATGATATCTCAAAGAAATTCTTTATTGACTATATCACCATCTTTATCATATTCCTATGAATTTCTCTTCGATTCCTATTCAAAACCTCCGGATTTCTCCTATGGAGACTTTATTTGAATAATATTTTTAGTTCATCCTTAAATTAAGTCGCTCCAAGAAATGGGTACTCGAAAAATTAACTACAAAAACGAAGAAAAAACAAACATGGTTTCGGATTCGAAATAAAAAAAGTGATATATATTTAAATCTCCCATGTAAAATTCTATAGATTGGTCCATAATTCCAAAATAAATTCTTTTCTACATATCAAAAAATATTCAACAATAAAACTATAAAATATTTACATGAGCTTTTACGAAACGTTTCAAGTTATAAGTTTTTCTTCTCCAATACTTCATCATATTATGTTTTACCTATTGTGTTCCTATGCACCTCTTTCTACAGTGACGGGTACTTGAGTCAGTTGAAAAGAAATTTCAACCCATTCAGGTTGAAACGCTTGAGAATGGTAAGGCAAACAATGACAGGAATAAATAAGATAAGGAATCATATAGATGAGAAATAGAATTAATATACAGAAGACAATAAATAAGTTTAATAATAATAATATAAGTGTATAAGAAGTATAAAAAGTAAGAAAAAATATATAATAATATAATTTAATATGACTTGCTAATTATCTATTACTGTCACGAACTGTGTCATTAATTAAAAGAAAAAAAGTCATTATGAAGTTGAAAAATGTCTTTAATCCTGCATATTGTCCATCAAGGTTGCTATTTCGTAGATATTATTATTAGCATATTTGCATTGACACGATCTCTTTACAATGAAGAACAATCACCATGATATTCATCTCGTTTAGAAAGCGAGATTAATGTACTTATAATGATAAAATTAATTTTCTAACACAATGAAACACGATCTTCACCGTACATCAACACCTTAGCTGATTGCTAATTACGTAACCTTCATACCTCATTATTACTAACTCACTACATCAATTGACTAATTGCTGTGGATGTAATACGCGGCAATGACAATTAAAATTATGTTAAAATTGAAATTTAAAAGATATGGTGTAAGTATAAGGATCATAATATCATATGACTCTAGAAAACTGTAAACACAAATATTTTTTTATCAAAAAAATCATTCGATTTTTCAAGGAAACACGTAAAAATTCCTTTTACGAAGTTGAAGAAAGTCGGTGACAAAGTGAACATTAGTACCTCTCCCTTACCCCGGTTTGCAAACAATGTTGTGGTAAGGGATGGTCTAATAAAAAATAAATAAGAAAGTTCTGCAAACCCGTTCTTTACAGATCTAAAATAATTCATTGTGCTGCATGAAACGATTTCTAAACGAACTGTAATCAGGGCTAAAATTGATCACTATTGTTAATTATGTTAACACCTTGGAGCTTTGTTTCCCGCACTTTAGACGTCTACAATTCCAAGATGAATTATGTGTTGAAATAAGGAATTTCAATCAAATGGATCTATCCTTATGATAAAGGTGACAAATTCGGGAGGGTAATGTTTTAATACCTACTAACTACAGTTCTTCAACATATAAAGATACATAAAACAACTTTTAGATAACGGATAAATGCTTAATTTAATGTACCTATTCGATGACCATTTCTTCCACCATAATTAGGAACCATATTAAATTGTATAGCAGCTCTTAGCACCAACTATATATTTCGAAATCCATTGGCAAAACTTTCTTAATTCGTGGCCTACGTGTACATAATTTACTCCTCTGTCGTATTGTTTTATGAACATGAACTTTATGTGACATTTACCGTGGGTTGTAGCGCACGCCTTTCCTGCTAAAAGTTGTGTT